CTAGGGTCAGAGAGCAGAAAATGGAATAATTAAACAGACATTGTCTGGGACTGGGGGAAGGAGAACTATTTTAAGAATGGCTAATGTAAGATAGATTGAATAGTCGTGTGCTCGTGTTGTTAATTAACTAATAGCTCAGAGAGCTCCACTATAGGCTCCCGTTCTTGTTCTGTTCAACATTTTTACCAGTGGCATGAATAAAGGAAGATTAGAGGAAATATTTTCTAGTCATAAAAATAATCTATCCATAAAGAAGATATAACACATACAAAGCTCTACCCACCAAAGAAAATAGCAGTAAGCTACATAAGACAGAAGCTTTTAGAAAAAAAAAAGAAATTCTGAAAAAAAATGAGAGTTTAGAAGACTAACAAACATCTCAGATTTGACACATTAGTCAGGCAAAAGTACTTGAAGGCTGTAAAGTATTTGAAACCTGCCATGAGATGAATATAGAATTCTGTGCCTTACACATCGAATATGCATTCTTCTCATAGAAGTTACGTAAAAATTGGTAATATTTTTGTCTGCAGAGGAAAGGTTAATAGATTCAAAGACCAAATATATTACCAGTATGTTCTCTTATTCTAATACAATAAAACTAGAAACCAATAGTCTGTATATATTAAAAGCTATCTTCCAAGTAATTCTCAGATGAATTAAATCCTAAAAACTAACATTATAGATTAGTTGGCTTACATTCTAATTAGAAATTTAAAATATCAACAAAACTTGAAGGTCACTGAGTACATGGGATGACTAGGAACGTGAAATCTAATAGAATTACATTTGAGGTCTTGTTCTGTGTCCAAAAAGCCAACGGCATATGAGAGATATGATCCCAGAATACCATCTTTAAAACAAAAACAAGCACAGACACAAGATTTAGTGACTTTAGTTGACAAATGGCTTTAGTATTCATCAACTATGATGGGGGTGCCAGGAAACGTTTATGTGATTTTTCAGCTGCATGAACAGATATGCAGCATCTAGGCCAAGAGGGACAACAGTCAGTTCTAATCTGCACTAATCAGACTCATACCCCGGGTATTTGCTTTGGAGCTCTGTGGCTTGAGAAAGATAATTAGAGCCAGAGAAGAATGAAGGGAATTGCCAAGGGTCCTATCGGGGAAAAAAAAAAAAATTGGCCAGGTGCGGTGGCTCACGCCTATAATCCTAGCACTCTGGGAGGCTGAGGCAGGTAGATTGCTTGAGCTTAACAGTTCGAGACCAGCCTGAGCATAAGCAAGACCCCGTCTCTACCACATGAGACAGAGTTAGAGGAAGTAGAGAGGCTTGACCTGAACCCAAGGCAGCTGCTGAAAGTCTTGATCTGTTCTCAAATATGTACATATGGAGGACTTTTTGCAGGAGACGGGTAAGGTCATAGAAAGGCAGACTTCTGTGAGCCAGAATATTTCAAATATGAAAAAAATGGCTTAGAGAGAAAGAGATCTAACCTAGTCTAGGTAAATACTTGATGCAGCTATTGCGGTTAGAATTTTAACCTTGGAAAAATAGGTGGCTGGCTCAGACAGACCTAATCCTGAAATTGTTCAATTCCCCTGGAATCTAGTGTTCCCTTAATATGGTCCATGAGCTTCCAAGTTTTGTACCCAAAGTTGTAAATTGAGTTTTTATAGGTTTTCAGCATAGGCCTTGTGGGTAGCATAAATGTCTGCTAAGTGTTCATAACCTAGTTGAGACAACATGGACCCAAATGAAACAGTCGTTGAGGGCTCTTTAAGGTTGAGTGTAGAGTGGTCAAATGAAGACATATCCTGTCATCAGAGTTCAGAGAAGAGGTCAGTGAGAGCTGGAATAGATGGGAAAATTCTCAGAGAGAAAACTTCAAAGTCAGATTGTGGGCATTAGGCAATAGGAGTGGTTTTAGAAATTTTAGCAACCAAGATGTATATGATAAGTAAACATGATAAGTTGTCTCTTTCCTTTGATGGCAGAATATGGCAAGACTCGCTGGAACATGCCATGCCATATGTGCAGATCTTTTTAGACCATCTCTTGTCACCACTGCCCACACAGCCACCATGGGGCTCCTACAGACACAGGCTGGGAGCTCTGCAGATCCTGCTCACACACAGCCTGCATCTCTAATGGATTGGTCCGGCAGGAGTTTCTATGGACTGAGCTATTTCATCTTTATCTTCCTGATTGCCTCTGAGCCTTTGCAAACCAAGTAGCCCTTTATCCTTGAAACCAAAACTCTCTTCATCTTGGGGAGCACTACCTGTCATCATAATTACAATAATAAATAATCCCTCACAGGTATTTAGGATTCCGAGTTGCTGAACTTTTTCACATCTACTTTCTTGTTATTCATGACAGTAATATGAGGAGCACAGGGCAGGTGCTACCCCTAAGCACAAGGAGGTCAGAGCACTTGCCCAAGATCACACTGAGGAAGTGAGCTGGTTCTGGGATCTAGAGGCCAGGCCTTCTGATCCTTGAGGCTTAGTGATGTGATTGGTCTGAACAGCACCTAAAGCTCCCTGTTCCTCGGACTGATATGTTCTGACCCTGAATGTCATTCAGGCCTGGAGAGCCTCCCAGGTGGCCAGAATTTCCAAAGTCTGGTCGGGCCCACCCAAGGCTTCTGTGCAATCAATCTTGCCTTTGTGGGTGAGAACTAGAATAGGCACCTTTCAGAGGCTGTATCTGTCTTCCCTCCAGTTAAAAGTGGTGTGTAAAACAACTTAATTCATAACTAGCAAACTGACATGTGCACATGAAGAACATAGAATATGTTAGTTTAATCAATTAAAACTTAGAGCAAAGTTAATATAGCACATTTAAATAATGCTATAGAATTAATGCCCTGCATGGTTATTGGGCATAAATGGTAAATAGTTGGTATGAATGACTGTAATTAGTATTGCTTTAGCAGAGCCAAATCAATTTTTAAGTGTCTCTCATCTCACTTTATTAGTTTTTGAGTATTTATATACATGGAATCACTATCTAAAGTTTTCCTTAATACCATTTGCCATCTAGCATCTGAATTTTTTCAAACACAGAAAGATAATTCCAGATACCAAGAGGAAACCATCTTGCTTTCTAAAAGTTCCCTCAGACTGTACCTATTTCAGTCCCTGAGGTGTGGCTTTCTTCAACAGCATGGGCATTTTTTCCTTACCTTCCCTCTAAGATTTTCTTCTCATTGTTAAGGGTTAGTTGAGAGCAAAAGTAATAATCCAAACAGCTGTCACTTACTAAGATGTGATTTCTTCCTCTTAGCCAAAAAGATACCTGATAGAACAGGGGCACAGAGCACGTTCATAAAGATGGCCACAGCTCACAGAAGTCTTGGACTGTCACGTTTTGCTGAGCACAGCCTGGGCCCGTTGTTCTGTAATTGTTCGAAGTCCAGTTTCTGGTTTTGGGAGTAAAGCCAAGAAAGAGAACGCAGAGGCTGGTGCTCTGTTACAAATGACCATAACAATGGAGTCTCCGCCATTTTCTTTGCCTGGGAGGTTGGATTTGTGGCTTCTGTAAAAACAGGGAAGACGCTAATCCAAATGTCCCCTTGTTTGCTCCCCCAGTAGGCAGCAAGTGAGGAAGGGACATGGGTTGGGCTGCAGCCAGTCCTCCAATAGCAGGGAAAGTCTGGCTCTGACTTGGAATCCTCGGTGGATATGGGAGGCAGGGGAGGGCTTAGGAAAGTAAATATATTCTCATTCTTTATGTTTCGTTCAGAAATCTCCTCAATATCTCTTAGACCTGAGAACCATGGCTGTTAGCTCAATTATTGAAATCTTTTGAATTAAAGGCAGGGTGAGTTTGCTATCATTTGAGTTAAGAATGGCAGAGGCCAATACTGGGGGGAGGGTGCCGTTATGTTGCATGTTTAACACAGGCTTTAGAGCCACATCACGCTGCTCACAGAGGCAGGAGTTCCTTAACAGGGAGGGGAGAGGGTCAGAGAAATGGTTTAAAACTACAGTTACCTGGGAATGTTAATCCTTAGGCATGGTACCATCTAGTTTCAGTTCAAATGGTAACACTAGAGCCTTCTCTTTGAATTTGAAGGAGCAATGGAAGGGAGATCTAGTACCGAGAGGGAAGGGGGAACAGAATAGGGTCATCCCTGAGGATAACCTACAAACCTGGTCCCCACAGCTTAATCTTTGTACAGAAGAGAGTGCCTGGGTATGCACTTCCTGGCCCGTGGGGCTCTTCAGTGTGGGAAGAGGATGCTGAAAGGGAGAGGGAGGAGGAGGACACCTTGTCCTTGCCATCCCCTAGCCAGCCTTGCCCTTCTCACACTCTGCCTGCGGCCCCATGCCTGGGATGGCACAGGCACTTAGACAGGTGTGACCCTTTCCTTGGTAGGGTATGGTAGCTGTTGTCATTGTCATGGAATCTCTTGAGAATCTTAAAAGAAACACAGATCTTTCTTTGGTTTTGGCACCTGAAAGAAAAAAATTTAAAAATAAAAAATAATGAAAAAAAAAGGGAAACAAACCACTCAAACTCCAGCACATGGTATCTGGGAAAGTTCTCTGACAGCAGCAGCAGCAGGCAGTGCTGATGGAGGCAAGCGGAGCAAGAGCATCCGAGAGGGACGAGATAAACCAAGAAGCAGACAGGGAAGAAACCTGTGCACAATGGTCCAGGGAATAGGGGCTGCATCTACTGGAGCCTGGGGTGTGGAAGTAAAGCAGAGTAAAGGACGATGGGCCCAGGGAAGCTTGCAGCAGAGCATATGGACCATTGGGGACTGATGGTTGGAGGATGGGAGGAGAGGACACAAGAAACCTCCCAGCAGCCAGGCAGGTCCAGCTGGGCCTCTGTGGCCTGCTTTCCTGCCAGGTCGGCTGATCCTGAGGGGCTCATCTTGAAGGGGTGGACAAGCTGACCCAATGGGCATCCCTCCACCCACAGCTCCAGAGGAGCTCATGCCTGAGCTCTAGGAGCAGCCACGTAGAGCAGGGGAACCTCAAGGCAGACCCCAATAGACTCTCCTTTTGCCACCTCTGTAGGAAAATTGCTGCTTATGATGAAGAAATCCAGCATCTATATGAAGAGATGGAACAACAGATCAAAAGTGAGAAGGAGCAGTTTCTCCTGAAAGTAAGTGTGCACTCCCCAGGCCTGGCTCAGAGGGCCTGGCTCAGAGTTTCTGCTCTGACTGTCTCCCCCAACTTAAGGAGGGATTACAATGCCCACACCCCTGGCATTATCAAGTCCCTCTTTCTCTGCCTTATTTTTTTACTGGCACTTGTCACCTTCACACATAGCATGTAATACTCATTGACTCTTGTCTGTCTCCTCATACTAGCACCTGCACTCCACAAGAGCAAGAATCTTTACCTTTTAGTTCGTAAGGTATCCTTAGTGCTTTGACCATGCCTGGAACATAACAGATGCTCCGCAAATATTGTTGAGTCAGTGAATGAATGAACAAGGGAATGATGGAATGATGGAATGAGGGAATGATGGAATGATGGATGCTTTCCCTGGTAAGGGGGCCCTGACACTGGCAGGCCCACCCAAATGCTCCAGTCCAGTTCACCCCATGCCCAGCAGCTCCCCTAGGGGGACAATCGGTAGAGCCTGTGCTGCCCATCCTTCCCTCCTAGACATGTAGAAAATTTAATAGTCAAGAAAATACCAAGTTCCACCCTCCTCAGATACCATGGGGGAAACATAAAGCACCCATCCCTGATTCCTAGTCTGACCCCTCCTCAGCCCCTTACCAAGCAAGGCCTGCCATCTGTCTTGGGAGGTCAGGACTAGAGAAACCCTTTTCACTGCTAAGCTAAGCAGGATCGTTTTGGAATATGTTCATAAAAAGAAAGGAAAAAAAAAAGTCTTCAGGGAACTCTATTACCATTTTTGGACTGTCCACTTGTGCTCTCAGCAAAAGGCCTTTGATCTTAGATGGGGGCCCCCTGCCTGTCAGTGCTAAGCTTGGACTATAGTCTCAGCTCCTTCCCTTGAACCAAATTTTAGTTTTATGCCGCTTCAGATTTTCCACACCACAGATGTCATTCAGAGAGGGATTCAGATGCTTTTCTCCAACTAGTGCCCTCTGAAGGCTTGTCAGCTTTTCCCACCCTCCCCCATTCTATTGTATAGCCTTCAAACACCCAGGCTGACCCCGACCCTCACAGTTGAATGAGCCTATGGCAGACAGAACCAGTGTTTCTCACCAGCAGACCCTAAAACAGTTTCTGAGAACAGCAGCTTTTCCTCCTGCCATAGGACAGCCACCCACTTTGTCCCAAATAACATCAGCCAAAGAAAGGCTGAGTCCTGTGGGGGCATTTTGCCCCTTCTGCCTGGACCCTGACTACAGGTCAAAGGTCTTAGCTAAAGAAAGAAGCATGATTCCAGAAGCAAAAGGTGGGCCAAGGCATGGGGGTAGAAGTGGGCAGAGGTCAGGGGAAAAACTTTAAGGACAAATTAGCATCATTGAAGGTGACCAGGCCCACCTATGCCTTCTGCTTTCTCCTCCTTTCTCTCCTCTAAAGCTCAGTGCTCAGATTTCCTTTGTGTGACCAGGGAAACTGCTAAGATGTCTTTGGCAGCGCTGTTAAGCCTTTGGATACACAAGATTTTCCCTGGCAAGGAAGTGAGGATAGGGGCCTTAGAATTTATGACACCACGGAAAAGGCTGGACCTCTGGCCAGGGTTTGGATCCTGCTTGACACTTACCAGTTTGTCTGGCCATGAGGGAAGAACCTCATCACTTGCACCCTCCCAGCCCCTTCCATGCTCTGTCCTGGCAGAAGGAAGTAAGACACTCCACAGGCCTTTGTGGGGATGGCAGCATTCACATGGGAATTCTGGAGCTGCCTGCCATTCTCAGCATTGGTCACGGCTTTGTGACCAGCAGTGAAGCAGAACGAGGCAGATTCCTGGTGCTGATTCTCTGGAAACAAACATTGGGAACAGGAACTGTCTGCCATATATATAATGTATAATGGATTTATTCTAACAAAAAAGAATAAAATCCAAAATCACTTATACAACACAAACAGGTCAGCTTTATAAAATGGATTTCAAACAGGTAAACTAAATTGCACTGAAAAGACAAGAGCATGGGTCTAAAATGATTACAGGAATATAGCCTACTAAGTTTGAAGGATAATACTTGTGGGTTTTTTAAAGAAATCAAAATAGAAAAGAGTTTTTAACATGAGTGAATATGTGGAAATCACAGTATTTAAAGCTTAACATGATGCTAGAATGGATTAAAGCATGTGATATTCCAACACCAGGACATAATCATTTTTATGTAGTAGACATTCAGTTTTACTCCACATTTGGACAAATACTGGTTTTTATTTGTTTTATTTTGGAATATTACTGGGGTACAAACATTTTAGTTACATAAATTGCTTTTGTACTATGTGAGTCAAAGTTGTAAGTGTGTCCATCACCCAGGCAGTGTGCGCCCCATCCCCTCCGCCCCCCTTTCCACCTATTTGAATTTGTTGAGTGTTATTTCTGTACATGCACAGAAGTGTTAATCAGTTCCAATTTAATAGTGAGTACATATGGTGTTTGTTTTTCTATTCTTGTTATACTTCACTTAGAAGAACGGTCTCCAGTTCCATTTAGGTATTTAGGTTGCTGTAAAATGTATTAGTTCACCTTTTTATGGTTGAGTAGTACTCTGTGGTATAAATATACCACATTTTGTTAATCTGTTCATCTATTGATAGGCATTTGAGTTGTTTCCGAAGAGAAATAAGACTCTTCATTAAAAAGAATACCTGGGCTTGGCGCCTATAGCTCAACCGGCTAAGGCGCTAGCCACGTACACCTAAGGTGGCGGGTTCGAATCCCCAGCCCGGGCCTGCCAAACAACAATGACGACTGCAACCAAAAAATAGCCGGGCGTTGTGGCGGGCGCCTGTGGTCCCAGCTACTTGGGAGGCGGAGGCAGGAGACT